ATCTTCTTCTTGTGCTTTAATAAATTACAGTTATTAGTTAGGCATCTCTACAAAAGCTATGTAGTAGCCAGTAGGTATCATAAATCACAGCTTAGAAAGTACGTTCCTTCCTCGACTATAAAGAGTTTCTTTTTGGCATTATAATTGGTTAATGGTAGGATAACTGGTTAAAGGAAAGAAGATAATGACAGAAAAACTTTGAATAATACTACACATATATCGTACTCATATCACATTTCTCATGCAACATTATATAACAAGATATGATTGGATAAAAATTTAATTTTAACTTTAAATTAACCAATCATATTTTACTGCATAATATTATATGAGAAATATTGTATGAGAATAATGTATGTGTAGTATTACTCAAAAACTTATCCAAAAGAATTAAGGAAGACCCATATAAAGTGAGAGTCGATTATAAGAGTTTAATCTAAGGGCTACTTTCCTTTCTTGTATATTAGAAGTGTTTCGACCAGCTATATATTGTTTTTTATACAGTGATTTTTACTAAATAATATTCACCTTGTTAATTATTAGAAAAATGCTATCCTTACAAAGACCCATACAAAGAGAAACAAAGAAAAAACGGAAAAAAAAAAAAGACAGAGAGAGAAATCATGAAAATCAAGGGTGGGGATTGTCTTTGTATGCCCACTTAGTATGTGTCTTTATAAAACTAGCATTGCTCTAAGATAGCATTTGGTTCAGGGAATGTTATATTATTGAGGAATGTTGTATTGTTGGAAAGATAGATTACTAGAGAATCTTTAGAGAAATGTGTTTGGTCGGTTGAATAAATTAATGAGTATGTTATAATAATATGTTTGGTTGGGAGGATAAATTAGTGGGTATGTTATGTAGACTACTAAATTGCCCTCATTTTAAAATAATAATATAATATTGTTTTTATTATTATTTTATTCTATTATTTTTTAAATTGTTTCTTTTAACCCCCTATATTTGAAATTTTACCAAAACACCCCAACCATATACAATTTTAATTTGTAGCAAAGTCACCCCCACTCACCCCAAACCACCGCCGGCAGCCACCACCACCACCGGAAGCCATTGTAATGGCGCACGACCAGCCAGATCTGGCTGGTCGTACGCCGATCAGGCCTAATCCGGCCAGATCTGGCCTTGAATATGGTCGTTTCACGGCTAGATCTGGCCGTTAATATAACCATTTCACGGCCAAAGATGTGGCCGTAAAACGGCCATAGATCTGGCTGTGAAAAGGCCAGATCTTTGGCCGTGAAATGGCCAAATCTGGTCATTTCCGACCATGGATCACAAATCTATGGTTGGAAATGTCCTTATCGGCACACGACCGACAAGATCCTGCCGTCTTGTACAGATATGACGACTTTCGCCGATGGACAGCGGTGGTGGCTAGCGGCCGGCGATGATCTTGGATGATTAGGGGTATTTTGTTAACTTTTAAACTTTTTTGTGACGGGGGTGTTTTAGCTAAGTTCTCAAATGTAGGGGGTCTGGGCAAATTGTTATTTGGTAGGCATGTGAGGGCAAATGTGTTCGGAATGATAAAATATTAAGGGCAAAATAGGATAAAAATTATGATTACCCCGGTAATCTAACATTAACACCCCCTGGGAAGGTAATCTGATTACCCCCAATATTACCAATAGTAACCACTATTTACAATAAAATATTACTGTAATATTATATTATTTGACAAACAAACGAAGGAATCTTAAAAATTAAACAAAGATTACAGAATTTATCCTATTTCACCTCGAACCAAACGCACCCTAATTATTATCATTATGCACTTTGAATGTTCTGGTTAACATGATTGGTAGGTAGGAGAGATGAAGTGTTTGCTATTTTGTATCTGCTTGCTTCAATTACACCATTAACTACTATTGATTAGCCTTATAGTAAAAAAGTAAAATTAAGTTTTATGAGCTTTTGAGTTTGAGTTTTCACATGCGCTTATAATGGTGGCCACTGAAGAGTTTACTTAACCATTAACTTTAAAGTCTTAAGGATTAAATAAAGTAAAATTAAGTTTTATAAGCTTTTGAGTTTGAATTTTTATATGCTCTTATAATGGTGGCCATTGTAGAGTTTACTTAACCATCAACTTTAAATTCTTAAAGATTAAATAAATTGTACGTAACTAATTAGGACATTTCCATCCTCGATGATCAAAAGAAACAAAAAATTACGCCATAAACATTTAACATAAAAACCATGTGTAAGTGTAAAGTCATCAGCTGCGGTCCCATGTATCCCATTTATGTGATAGAACCAGACCATAAATAAGCAGCACATTTTTTTTTTATCGATTTGTTTAGAACCCATCCAGAAAAGTGGTTGAAGGAACTTAAATCATAACGAACGAGCACGGAAATACTGATTACTGCACAGAGATTTTTGTGAAAAAAGGAGCCAATATTCCTTGAGAAAAGTGCATCTATATTGATTATTCATTGTAATTAGAGAATATTGGTGAGCAGAGCAGATACTACTTGTAATCCCAGCAAAGGCTATCAAACTAACAACAATTGTATAGGATTCCTAAACTTTAATTAATAGACTAAGGCCAGGGTAAAAGAGCCACAAACACAAGTGAGAATATCACTCGGAAGATCCACCCAATAATAATTTAAACCATGTCGTTTTAAAGACAAACATGAACACATATAAATCCACTTACACTTAGAGGGTGGTTGTGGCACTTTTCCACCACATTCTTCACACTCAACGAAACCGACCAACTTAAAAAAAAAAAAAAAAAAAGCGAAAAAGAATTATCAGAAATTTAAATGTTTTTCGTCAATTAAAAATGCCAATTATTTCAGTGCGTGATGTGTCATAGCCCATCTCTAAACAGTCTTGGTCTTTGTTAATCAAATATCCCACTAAGTCAGACAACTTTGACCATCCATTCGGAGCTTTTACTCTGCCTTTTCCCATTCAAATAACATCGATGGAGCCCTGCATCCTTTAAACAATGGGTAAGATTTTATACACAAGTGTTGACAGGCAAATTAGAAAGACAAACCTCACCCACTTTCTTTTTGTCATTTCCACTAATCTATGAAATCAGCAGCTTCTTCAGTCTTCAACTTATGCATAGCTTTAATGCTAGAAGAATAGATAATCTAATACTACTTTTGCTATGTCATTTCGGTTAGAAAGGCATTAAAAATTAATCAATTTGCTAAACTTTGTTTCAGATGTAAGGTGGTTCTTGGCCTAATAATACAGCAACCCAATATGACTTTCAAATCAACTAATGATTGATGATCTTAGAACCAGAAGCCAAGGATGAACAAGTTATATTTGTACACTGCAATGGGTTACTTTTTCAACGACAAAACACAATAAATTCCAATGGTGCAATAATATATAATCGAGTAATCAGTCAAGATTCCTTCAAAGTTTCAACAAATCTCTACCCCAATTTCCAAGTACTATCAATCCACAAGATTGACCAGTAGTAGTACTGCAATAATTTTTCTCGAATCAGTTTGATCAACATATTATTAACAATAGATTAGTGGAAGTGCAGTAATTATTTATTTTCTATGTGGTTTTCAAATTGAATCAGTTTATTAAAAAAATATACTCTTTAATTGCAGTAGCTACTCCCATTTTTAAAGACCAAAATATATAGAAAATTTTGTACATATGTATTTATTAATTATATAAATTTATGAGTTTGTTTTTCCGAATTTATATATTAATTTGTCAAGATAAGAGGAATGACTTTTCTAGAGAGATGCTTCATATCAACATCAATTTTGTTTTTATTTATTAACCATTAATTAAGAATTTTAAGTCACTATCAGTTTATCATAAATTTATTTCTAATCGGTTAAACATTATTAACTTCTATAATCGATTAGAAAATGCCATGGTTCCGGAGTAGGTAAGCAATGGCGTGACATCTGACAGGATTCGCCACCGTCAGCCCAAAGCATAGAGAAGGATGGAAATTTCGGCCCATCATCAGCAGCCCAAAACGAGGGCAACGGAGCCACGCCGTTCTTGGAGTGGCTTTAATTTGGGCTTATTTACAGTCATGAGATAATCCCGCAACTGGATGCAAAATTTGTAGACCCGCTTTTAAAGTATCTCAAATGATTCTTTATATGACCCAAACTCTTATATAAAAGGTTTATCAATAAAATAAGAGTATAACAGATTCTTTACTTTTAAAATATAAATTAGAGAGTGAGTTTGCTTCACATTTAGAGAGTCAAATTTCACTCTCTATTCTAATTTTAATTAATAAACTATAAGTTTTCATGCATTTTATTATGAGTGATGCTATGGGTACTAATGGATGAGTACTAATATGTGTACTAACTAAAGCATAGTACCCGTAATATACGCATAGTACGGGTACTATGCTTAGTTAGTACACATATTAGTACTCATCCTTAGTACCCAAAGTTATTCTTTATTTATAATTTTTCTCCCAAAGTCTCTTTCTTAAAAATAAAGAGTTCTTCGTTCAATTTAAAAAGTCTATTGAATTTGAATAAAAATTATGTTCTTTATATTTAAAAATTAATAAAAATACTCTTTATTTATATAAAAGATGCTCTTCAAAATAAATAGCTCATTAGAGATGCTCTTATCCATCAATTTTTGTATCCATCAATTCCAAAATGATTTTGAAGAGCAAGTCAAACAAATTCTTTTAGAGCATTGGAAAAAAAAAAATACAAAGATCAGAAACAAACAGAATTAGACTCACTTAACTGAGATAATGTATGATCTCGGTGCAGTATCATGATATTAAAGTTAACACTATTAAATAAGCTATAGAGGAGTTAAAACTACTCATCCTTATCAAATAGTGCAAACTTATAGCTGACTGTCCCACACCATTAAGAATCATGAAATTTCCCACCAACAGTTAGATGCTGGACCTCGTAACTTGACTCCTTTGACCAAACAACATAAAATCCAACTCCAGGTTATGTCTTGGTTAGAACCAAGAATTATATTCATCATCATTTATATTTTATTTGATATTTTTGCATGTCTGAGAGGGAGCATGTGAACTAGGATTATTGCACTGTTTGTTGATCTCGCTCCACACCTAGCCTTCTAACCCTCAAATGAAACTGACCAGCCGCTGTCAAAAGCTTGACTCTCTGAATTGGAGACAAATTCTGCATAATCTTCCTCATTGCCGTCCCACGAAGACCATCAGCCGCCTCTAAAACCAACAGCATCCCCGCCTGCAGTTCTCTCAATGCGGCATCTGCGTCCGACACCTCACCGTCCACTAAATATACAAAATTCCTGGCTAAATTGAACAGTGATGGTGCTGCTATTCTCTCTTGAAGCCTCGCCATTGTCTCTGATAGCTCTCTCTCCTCCCTTCTTGTCTCCCCTTTTAGTTGCTCCATTTCATGTTCTTGCTCTTCCGTTAAATCCTTGACTGAGCTGTTAAGTAGCTTGAAAAGCAAGGATGGTCTAAAACCGCCAAGCCAAAGAAAAGTTATTTCGTAAGAACTGAACCATGGAGGAGAAATGAAGAGAAATACATCTTCTCTTGCTGCTAATGACTTCTCTTCATAATATTGTTGGTAATGAGATAGAACTTGATCAATCAAGTTCTGGTGTTGCTCATTGTTGTGAATATTTTCTGGTGCAATTGCTGAGATGAGCTGATCAATAAACTTCTGCTGACAGCTTAACCAGCCACTGAAGAATGTTTGGAAATTGAGTCCAAAGTTTGGATTTGGCTGGGTTAGGTGAGCCATGCTGATGGTGAGAGGAAGAGGCAGAGACCTGTCCTTTATATACTTATGGATTAGTAAGGGGAGTGGCAGGCTGTCGGTTAACAATTTGTTTATTAATAAAATAAATTACTTAGTAGTAAAGGTAGAACTTTTATTTATTTTGTGATTTTGCTTCGTGGTGAAGGTGTTCCTAAGTCTTTTTGGATGGATATATGGATGTTAGCCCTTTTGAGTTGGGTAAGGACTTGTATGGATTGAAATTGATTGGCGGTGAGAGCCACCGGGAATTGGGGAATGCCACAGACAATATGAAAATGAAACTTCTTCGCCATTTCTTTAGATTCTGGAATGTTGCTTTGCTTTGGACTCAGCACTACTCACGCGTCCTACACGCGTGTTATCTATAATTTTATAGGCCCATTTATTTTTTTAGCCTCAGCCCGCCCACCATTCTTTGTCTCAATATTTAATGGGCACTCTAGACATATGATCCACTTAATACAAATCAAGTGATTCAATTTTTATTATATGAACAAGTTTCTGTTTTTTTTTTTTTTTTTTTGGATAAGTCTTTGATTTTGGTGGAGTTTTCATGAATAAATCTGTTCGACAAAGAAGTGTTTATTGAAGCGATTGAACAATAATTTTACCCAATTCATATAATATAAATTAGTTGTTTGGTTGAAGGGGGGTTCAAGCCAACTTACATGTACTTCAACTAATCCTTTGAGGCCCTGTAGTTAATGACCAGGTAAATCCTCTAGTGGCCACCTTTATTAGCAACTGAGGAGAATTGAACTCAAAGTTTCTTAAGTAATACACTCAAGAGTCTATATCGTCTCACCCGACCATCTAAGAGTGGTTTTTACGAGTAGTGATTAGTGTGAAATTTCTTTGAATTAAAGTGGTTTGATAAATAAGTTCAAATGGGCCCAATCCCCGAAGCGGGAGATATGAACAGGCTCATAGTTAGAACCCATCGTAATCTAACCCAGATGAAAGTATACTTCCTGTTAGACTTGGCCCTTAGCTCACACTAACAGGAATGTCTAGCGATTAAGCTGTAGTTTGAAGAGCATAAGGTATCGTCATTTTGTCATTCTCATCCATATACTGCAGAACTACGTTACAAAATGTTTAACGGTTTCCTACTTCCGAGTATCTATGTAAACTAATTGAAGCTCAGGAAAGATTGGTCTCTGGCTCTCCTGCACACAATAGTTACCCTCAAGATTGCCCATATACCCGTCATCAACCCATGAATTTGTGCAGTGTAGTCCGTTTGAGTTGATTTACTTCAAATAAAAAGTTAACGATACTACTTAAATATGTAATGTTGAATCAATTAAGAGAGGTGGGGGACGAAAGCATAAATTTTCTTAACTATTAAATTAAAAATAAAAAAGATACTTGCAAATTTTATTAATCATTTGGTTTTGGTGGGTATAAACATTAAAAGCAGGCTTACGGAAAGGAAATCTCAGAAGTTTGTGGGCTTTGTCCATCAGTATGATCAGTTGGGCTACCGTTATTCGCGATTTACCCTTTGTCTGTCCCACTCCAAACCTGATCTTCTAAGTCTTAATTGAAATTCAGCGGCTCCCGCCGAAAGCTGAACTGTCTGTATCGGTGACAGAATCTGCAGAACCTTCCTCACTATCGTCGCACGAAGCCCATCCGCCGTATCTAAGGCCACCAGCATTCCACTGCGCAGGGTTCTCATGGCCGCCTCTAGTTCTGATGATGCCTCACCATCTACCATATTTTGAGCACGCCTCGCCGATATCAGTAATGGTCCTGCCGCTATGTTTTCTTGTATCATCGCCATTGTCTCTGTTAGCTCTCGTTCTTCACTTTTCGTCTCTGCTTTTACCATCTCCATCCTATTTTGTTGCTCGTCTGTCATGTCCTTGACAGAGCCGTTTAGTATTTTGAAAACCAAGGATGGTTTAAACCCACCAATCCAGAGGAAAGTTCTTTCGAAAGAAGTGAACCACGGTGGAGAAAAGAAGAGAAACACATCTTCTCTAGCTGTTATTGATTTCTCTTCATAGTATTGCTTATAATGACACAAAACTTCATCAATCAGGGTTTGATGTTGATCATCACTTTTGTGAATATTTTCTGGTTTGATTGCAAGAATAAGCCGATCAAACAAGTCTTGTTGACGAATAAGCCAGCCATCCAAGAATTCCTGAAATTTCACCTGAACGTTTGGGTGACCTGTAGGCTGATCTGCCATAGTGTTGAGAGTCTGGAAAGCCAAAGATCATATTTATATAGGTAAAGAAATATGCCCCGTCAACCCCAAGGGGTTGGTTTGGGAATTGGGATCAAGAAGGTTTGCTTTTTTTATTAACTTTCTCTTATTGTCAGTTAATACATTTATAGCTTAATTTGGGACATTGAATTTGTAAGGTGTTCAATGAACTCCAAATATTAATTAAGGTACGTACAAACTAGTCTGAACACCTAATCATTAAAAAAGAAAAATATTCATTGTCATCCTGTGAATGACTTTGGTTATGTGTTATGAGGTGTTCATGTTGTAGTTAATTTTATGAAGGTGGTGACGCATGAATTAATTGCTTCATCGGTTAGATCTACATACATTTAGAAGAGTTTTGGTTAATGTCCTTTCGGTGTGGGTGTGGTTTGACTGAGAGTGAGAGCCAGTGAACACTAGCAACTGGGAAAGATTAGGCCACCGCCAGAGCGATGCTAAGAAACATCTACGTGCATACGCCCTTTGGAATGATGATGCTTGGACAAGCATACAAATTTCATCTTCTTTCTTACTGCTACACTGCCAATTTACGACACGTCCTAAACGCGTGGAATCCGGCAATCCGCTTGTTTTTTTTTTTTTTTTCCGTCATCTTCTTTAGTCTGGTGACTGCTGATGACATCCGCAATTGGAAAGAAAAGAAGGCCCATATATTTGACTCCCACTGATTCTTATGATCCTCTCTACTAAAAGAATTAAATTGAGATATTAGATGGTTAATAGTATTGAATTAAAATGTTATAAAATGTGAGATTGCAATATAAATATTAATTTATCGATAATATGATAACTATTAAATTATACGGTATGGGTATATAGACCAAAACAAAAGAGGAAATATTCATTATAAATTGCTTCTTTTAGCTCCCAGTTTCCCAAAACCAAAGGCCAACTTGGAATTGAAAATGAGCATTCCACAAATTACGACAAAAAAATGAACAGAGCAGAGCTGATTCCATGGATGTAGCTGTACATAGACTGGGTATACGTACATTTGAAGACTACCTCCAATGAACGTACATAGTGATGGCATATGATTATTACAGAGTGCTGTCATCCATGCTTAATTGAAGGCTGAAACTATTATGGCTTGATTGAAGGAATTACAGTTACTGATTTCATGTAATTACATTGATTATATTTGATTGCATTTCCATATTTTACACTTGTAAACTTGTATAAATTAGACACATTACAATACTGAAATATACAGAAAAGAAATATTCTTTCATCTTCTTCCTTTATCTTCTAGGCACTCTTATCATCTTTGTTCCTCTACCTCTCTTGCCTATCTTTCTTTGCCATATTCTGACATGGTATCAGAGCCACTATACTTCCTTTAGCTTCCGCAACTTTATTTTTTTTGTCCCTACAAAAGCAAACAGAAACTTTATTAGTTTCTCTCATTCAACCTGTCAATCACCAAAACCAATTTCTAGAAAATTATCAGATCCAACACCCCAATGGCAACCAACACACGCACTGCTGAATCAACCCACAATGAAACAAACCCCACAAATGGCCCAAATCCCATAACTGGCCCAACAATAACAATAGGCCCAACTCTCACAACAAGCCCACCTCTCACTACAGGCCTAAACCCATTCCCTTTTGGTATACCGGGTTACAACCCAGATTCAACTCAACCCACGGGTCAAAACCCATATCCTTTCACCTTCCAAATGGTTCAACCACCGGTCACTGCCCTGAACCAGGCGATGTCCTCTTCTCACCGGTCTCCGATGGATCGTAAATTACCCTCATTAAGCAGTAGTTAACCGGATCTAATAACTACTCAACATGGGCAAGAGATTTCTGGCGAGCCCTCGTCACTAAAGACAAAGAAGGCTTTGTCAATGACACCATCCCACCACCACCTCTGGATTCACCCTTTCACCGTTACTGGAAGAGGTGCAATATGCTCATGAGATCTTGGCTCAGCAACTGTTTATCTCTCGAAGTGGTGGCTTGATTACCACCAATTGAAATTGCTGCAGAGATGTGAAAATATTAGAGATATGTATGGAACGCTGGATTTAGCAAAAATATACACTCTCCAGCAACAACTCGCTGAGATCAGTCAAGGTAATGCAACCGTGACTTTTTATTTTAACAAATTGTCTGCTATATGGCGTGAGTTAGACGCTACAAAAGAAAAACTTGAGGGACCGCCGACAACCCTCGCACAATACCAGAGGATTCACAATCAAGCATGACTCAGCCGTTTTCTCTTGGGTCTCAACGAGGCCTTTCTGTCATTTCGGACGCAAATCTTAGCCGTAGCATCGCCACTAGATCTTCGTCGAGTTTTTCAGCTTGCCGTGTAAGAAGAGAGTCAACGACAGGTTGTTGTGGCTGGCTCCAGATCCGGCGATGCCACTGCCTTTGCCGGAGCTCGCCAAAGTGTTTTGGATGTTCAAGATTTAGAGAAAAATCTGAATAAGCTACGGCAAAGGTTTCAAAACCCTTATCAACATCCTTTTTTATATGAACAAACCAAGGGCCTAGATCTATTTCCTCCATCCAACGACCACCATTTGATCTCTAAATCCAACAGCCTAAATGATGCCACATCATCGTTGGAGTCCATTGGGTCCAATAGTCTTCATAATTCAAATGGGCTGAATGGATTGGCCTGGTCAAATGAGCCTAAAGCACACAAAATGGGGAAAAACAAATTTTATTGTGACTATTGCAAAAAACGAAGTCACACCTGGGATAGATGCTGGAAATTACATGGGTGTCCTACTGACAAATCTGGAAATCCATCTGTTCACCAAGTCAACACTGTTCCTGCTGGAAATTCAATCTCTGCACCCATGATCAGCACGAAACAATACACTCAATTGCTTCAAATGATGAATCAACGTCCTCAAACGTCCTTGGCTTCTTGTAGGTACATCTTATTGTTTAAATTCAATTAAATATGATATTTGGATTATTGATTCAGGGGCTAGTGATCATATCATTTGTAACCAAAATTTTTTTACCCATAAATCCAACACATCATCCATTTCTATTCGCATGCCGAACGGGAATATAGCACCTGCCACACATATAGGAACAATTCAACTTAGTAAACACCTCACCCTTAAGAATATCCTATTTGTTCCGGATTTCCAATTCAACCTTATATTCGTATCCAAAATTTGTACTGATAATCACTGTATTCTAAAATTTCACTCTAATACATGTGAAGTTCAGAACCCTTCGACTGGGACACTGATGAACTTGGGTAGAGTAACTAGTGGCCTATATTACTGAATTCCTGATAGTTCTTCTAGTGAATTTCTCCATTGTATTACAAACAATAAATCTGTCCAATGTAATACAAATATCAATAAAAATTCATTTATTCTCCATCAAAGACTAGGTCATAGTGCTTCCATACCACACCCACAATGTCCAATATGTCTTCTAGCAAAACAATCTCGCATAACCTTTCCCCATAGCACTTCCACTACAACACAACCATTTGCCCTCATTCATAAGTTAGGAAACGATCTAACCCATGGTAGCGGAAAACAAAAATAAAACAGCGATCGATTCCATTTTAAGCCAAGATCATGATACAAATGTTAAAGATAATATGTTAAATTAAATATTCTGCAGTAATGTGAACGATCAGAGTAAAGATTAGAGTTCATACGCACGTTTGGAAGCTCCTTCAACTTGTCTCTAACTGGGTTCACTACCGATTCAAAGTAGAATCAAACCAATAGTACTCCACACGAAGATAACCCGAAGAGCTAAAGAGGGATTTGCTAGATCCTCTTTAGCCTTAAGAATCAAGAACAAGAATCAAATGAATTTGATTCATACAAAGTAAAGTGGCGTGGGGTAGAGAGTGGGTTGGAGCTTTCTCAATGAATATGATATAAAATGACTTAAAATGAAAAGTGTTATTTAATTCATAGAACACATGCACTAATATAGTGCATGTGAAACCCTATTCCACTTAGGAATAGGCTTAGACACCAACCCAAACAACCTCTATATCCAAATAGCCCCATTTAGATATTTTTATTTTAATTATTTTTATTTCAATTAAATTCAATTAATATATATAAAATATATTAACATTTAACGATAACAATAATTCATTTAAATATATGCATACACATATTTAAATATAATCTCATTTATTTAATTTTAATATCAAATTAAATAAAGGCAACAACCTTAGCAAATTTAATTGCACTGTGAGGTTACCAAAATACCCTTTCGTCTAAAAAGACGAAAACGCCCTTTACACAAACTGATTCTTAAATTATTTTCTATGTGTGTGACCCATAGACTCCTCATCATACCGGTAGTGCGTAGTGTCGCGATCAACACCAATTAATTGTCTCACTACACACAAACCAATATTGGCCCCTAGCAAGGCATCATGGCCACCCGATAGATTCGGATTCAGCGAAGTAGCTACCTATCAATGATATGGTTACCATACAATTCAATCATTTCATCATCTATTATCTCATCGACACCGAGACACAAAAATAGTGTCAACTTCAGTTACTCTCGATATATAAGTATTCAGTTACTGGACCAATGATCGGAATAATAAATTGGATTGAGCAACAACTCAATCCCACTGTCATCATAGTTTTAGTGTCATTGCCATTTACTGAATTGCGCTTTGAGATAACTTCTCCTGTGTCCAACAGTGATGAATCCTCTGTCGATCCACCATAGTCTTGATACACTCCTTGATGCAGCCAATCATTACCGTATTGACAACTCTGAATAGAACTGCATTGGATTAGTGTCAAACTACACCAATCGGTGCACAAAGCGCTCTAGTGATCTCAAGTCTAAGGATCACATGCACTACCATTCGTTAGAGGATTTATTCCATAGACACTAGGGTTACCATCCATATAGAATCCTCTGGTGGGTCAGTCTAGTGAACTTGCCTACAACAAGCACTCATGTGTTGCACCAGGTTGTCACCAAACAACCTTGACAAGTGAGATTAGTCACTGCCTTTCGACAGAGTCGTTCAACACTATGATAGCCTTACTGTATTATCTATGCCCTTACTTCAGAATAATACTAGAGCTACGGACGTTTCTAGAATGGCCACAATATATGCTCATAGGGTTCTCACTAACAAGATTTAAAACACTTGATACCCTCGTCACGGTTCTACCATTTTAAAGACATATATTAATAGATACTATATGATTTACGCGATATAGAATAAAATGCTTTTTTATTGATCAATGAACATTATTACAAAGAGTCACTTCTACAATAATTGATTGGCTATAGGGCACCTACCTACTCTAACAATCTCCCACTTGCATTATAGCCAATCATTTATTTATTTAATACCAAATGATCTCAAATGTTGTTCATGCTTCTGCTGTGACAGAGGCTTTGTTAGTGGATCTGCAAGATTGTTGTTAGTATGCACTTTACTGATATGCACATCTTTCCTCTCAACTATTTCTCTGATGAGATGGAATCGTCTAAGTATGTGTCTAGACTTCTGTTGGGACCGTGGTTCCCTAGCTTGAGCGATCGCTCTATTGTTGTCATAATAGATGTCGGATCAACAATCGTGGAAACTACACCAAGTTCGGTGATGAACTTCTTAATTTACACTGCCTCCTTGGCCGCATTTGATAATACAATATACTCGGCCTCTATTGTAGAGTCCGCTACAGTGCTTTGCTTAGAGCTCTTCCAGCTCACTGCACCCCCATTGAGACAAAATACAAACCCTGATTGCGATCGATAATCATCTTTGTCCGTTTGAAAACTAGCATCACTGTATCCTCTTACAGTGAGCTCATCTTCCCCTCCATAAACCAAGAACTTATCCTTAGTCCTCTTCAGGTACTAAAGAATGTTCTTGACATCCATCCAGTGATGCTTACCCAGATTCGATTGATATCTACTACAAGTGCTCAAAGCATATTAGACATCAATCCAAGTGCATAATATGACATACATGATAGATCCAATTGCTGATGCATATGGGATCCTCTTCATCCTATCTCTCTCATCTTGTGTTCTAGGACACATATCTTTGGAGAGATAAACACCATGTGACATCGGAAGAAATCCCTTCTTGGATTCTACCATACTGAATTTTTTTAGTATTTGTCAATATATGCACTCTGACTTAGGCCAAGCAACCTACATGATCTATCACGATAGATCTTTGTTCCAAGGATGTAGGCTGCTTCCCCTAAGTCCTTCATGGAGAAGCACTTGGATAACCAAGTCTTTACCGACTGCAAGTTTGGTATATCATTCCCAATCAAAAGTATGTCATCGACATACAACACTAGGAATGCTACTGCGCTCCCACTCACTTTATTGTAAACACAAGGCTCATCTTCGTTCTTGATAAAACCGAATTCTTTTACGGCTTCATCGAAACCAATGTTCCGGCTTCTTGAAGCTTGCTTGAGTCCATAAATGGATCTCTGCAACTTGCATACCCTATCAACTTGCCCATCAAGAACGAAACCATCGGGTTGTGTCATATACACATCCTCTTCAAGGTTTTCATTCAAAAAAGCTGTTTTGACATCCATTTGCCAAATCACATAGTCATGATATGCAGCAATCACAAGCATAATCCAGATGGATTTAATCATAGCAATCGGCGAAAAGGTTTCTTCATAGTCAATACCAATTTGTTTGAAACCTTTGACAACCAGCTGTGCCTTATAAGTATGCACCTTGCCATCTGTGTCAGTCTTCTTCTTGAAGACCCATTTACACCCTATGGATTTTATCCCTTTAGGTGGTTCCACCAGAGACCATACTTGGTTCTAGTACATAGAGTCTATCTCAGATTTCATGGCTTCAAGCCATTTAACGGAATATAGATCCGATATAGTGTCTTCGTAGGTTCTGGGTTCATCGTCTTGGTAGACTAGTACGTCATCATGTTGTGTCACAAGATAACCGTATCTCTCGGACTCATGGCGTACTCTCCCAAATCTACGTAGCTCCTATGCTACCTGAGGTGGTTCACTTTGATCCATAAGTTGTGGAGAAACCTCTTCTTGATGTTCAACCACTTCCTGTGGCACATCATCCCGTCATTTGTCTAGTATATTTTGTGGTTCTAGAACTTCATCGAGTTCTACTTTTCTCTCACTAGTACTTGGAAAAAATTTCTTTCCTAGGAAGACACCAGTACGAACAACAAAAATGTTATGCTCTTCTGGGTGGTAGAAATAGTATCATTTGGTCTCCTTTGGATACCCCACAAATATACATTTACAGGATTTTGGGCCCAACTTGTTCGAAGTCAATTTCTTGACATAAGCTTCGCAACCCCAAATCCTTAGATAAGACAAGTTGGGCTTTCACCCATTCCATAGTTCATATGGAGTCTTATCTACAGACTTTGACGACACACGGTTCAAAACGTGAGTTGCAGTCTCTAGGGCATAACCCTAGAATGATGTAGGTAGATCACTTAAACTCATCATGGACCTAACCATATCAAGTAAGGTCCTATTCCTCATTTCAGATACTCCACTGTGTTGGGGTGTTACGGATGGGTGAGTTGTGATACTATCCCACATTCCTTTAGGTATTCAGAAAGCCCTGAGCTTAAGTATTCACCTCCTCGATCCGACCGAAGAGCTTTAATACTTTTGCCCAACATATTATGTACTTCATTCCTGAATTCTTTGAATTTATCAAAGGCTTCAGATTTATGTCTTACAAAGTAGACATAACTATATCTACTGAAATCATCAATAAATGTGATGAAATATGAATATCCACCTCTGGCCTCATCTGTTAATGGACCACATACATCACTATAGATGATGCCTAATAGTTCACTAGCCATTTCACTTTGTCTTGTGAAATGCGACTTGGTCATCTTGCCTAACAGGCATGACTCGCATACCTCAAATAACTGAAAGTCAAAAGGGTCCAAAACTCCATTCCTTTGAAGTTTTGCAATGCGGGTCTTATTAACATGACCCAATCTACAGTGCCAGAGGTATGTCTGGTTTTGATCGCTATGTTTAGCTTTCTTGGTTTCAACATTGAGAATATCTT